CATGTCTATGTATCTGGAGCACACTCGGCCTAATGGCACCTGGAGAATGGGGTTATCCCGAAGGCGGCCCATCTTAGCTCACTGTAGATCTGAGACACTGTGAGACTCCAGCTTTCTTTATGTATCTATGTATAAGGTCTTTCTGTTTGAGAGGACACGCCTATCATATGACTGACAGCATTCTCCCCCAATGGCATTGTACTTGCTACCTGGGAGCTCCTGCTTCTTATAAGCATTTCCCTGTCCCACGCCGCGCCTTTCCTCCCTCACCACCCGACGGCCTGCTCTGGGTCCACACCGAACCCCACTCACAGTTCCAAAGTCATCCACACGGTCACTATGAAGTCTGATGGGCTTGCCCGTGCTGTGTCCTTGTCCAGCTTTCCACCATGTCCAATGCCTCACTGGGTGCTGTGAGTCTGCAGACTCAGCGGCTGGCTCCTGGGGTTGTGGGCCCATGAGAAGTTGGTACACATCAGGAGCCACAAGCAGAACTTCCAACAACAAAAGGTTCCAGGTCAGGCCATACTTAGCATATCAAGCAGTATCCTAAACTTCCCCAAGGTGGGTCTGCATCAGTTCCATCTCCACTTTTCTTCAGACACTCACTCCGTTTGGACTTCAGGTTGAGATGCTCTTCGGTCCCCTCAGTGTTGAGATGACTAGACATGAGCTGCCACAGCAGCGACTGGGGTGTCTGTCCTGCGTCTTGGCTTGGAAACTGTGTGCTGTAGACCTTGTTTTAATTCCTTCTTTCTTTCCTTCCTGTTTTTGGTCTTTTAAGATGGGGTCTTACTATGTAACACTGGCTGCCCCAGAACTCACTATGTAGACCAGGGTGGCCTCCAACTCAGAGCCCCACCTGTCTCTGCCTCCTGAGTGCTGCAATTAAAGGTGACCCCCCCCCCCCACACACACACCTGCTTTCTAACCTTAACTCTCTCCCACGCCACCCCACCCCCGACCTATCTCACAACCTCCCTCATTCTGTTTCCCATCTGTCCTGGGGCAACTGCTGGCATGCATAGGTTGAGTGGTGCCAAGTGTTAGCCCAGGCAAACTGGACACACCATGGCCCTGTCTCCCCATGCTGGCTACATCATAGCCTTGACAGGCAGCTTTTCCAAGTGATTCTGCATCATCACTGTCTCAAGTTACTTTTCCACTGCTGTGATTAGACACGGTGACCAAGGCATTTTGTAGAAGAGTTTATTTGGGGTTTACAGTTTCAGAGGGTTAGACTCCATGACCATCGTTTGGGAAAAGCATGGCAGCAGGCATGGTGCTGGAGCAGTAACCGAGAGCTTACATCTTGATCCACAAAACAGTTAACTGGGAATGGCATGGGCTTTCAAAACCCCAAAGCCCACCCCTAGTGACACCTTCTAATTCCTCCCAAACAGTTCCGCCTAACTAGAGACCAGGCAAAAAACTGTCCCAATCTCGATCCCTTCAGATAGTCGGGAAAGTGATTTGTGGGGCTGAATTGGGAAGCCTGGGAGAGAAAGGTGTGAAGCAGCCAGGACAAGAAGCCCTGATTTTGGGGGTGGTTTCCACAGTGCCTGCCCTTCTTAGAAGTCTGTATTTGATGCACACACCTCTCCTGGTCCCTACTGGAGCACCATTTAATCTGCCTATAGAACCTCTGCTCCCAGCCAGGCAGTGGTGCACACCTTTAATCCCAGCACTTGGGAGGCAGAGGCAGGCGGATCTCTGAGTTCGAGGCCAGCCTGGTCTACAGAGTGAGTTCCAAGACAGCCAGGGCTACACAGAGAAACCCTGTCTCGAAAAAACAAAAACAAAAACAAAGAACCTCCGCTCCCAAGCCTATAACAGTGTAAGCACCATGGTTAAACTGTATCCTCACGCACAGCCCTGCCCATCCCATTGAAGTCTCTGAAGGATTCGGCTACAGACATTGGATCTTTTGATTGTGCACCCTGTGTGTGTACATGGAGGCCAGGGGTTGACAATGGGAATCTCCCTCAGTCACTCTCCACCTTAGTTTTTGGGACAGTCTCTCTCTGAACCAGAATGTCACCAGTTGGCTGGAATAGCTTGCCAGTGAGCCCCAGAGGTCCTCCTGATGTTCTTCTCCAGTGTGGCAACTCAAAGCAGGTCCTGATGCTGCAGGCAGAAACTTACCAACCGAGCTACCTCTCCAGGCCCTTCTTATACTTTTAAACATGGGCTCTAGTTACACTTTGTCTCCATAGGAGAAACAGAGATGAATGTTGTTTCCTGCTTAGGAGAGGCATGGGCAGTATATTATGAGCTATACCAAGAACCTGGAGTGCAGAGTGTAAATGGTTTTTTACCCAGTCTAAGCTGTGGGGCAGCCCAACAAGACATTTCTGGTTTCCTCTAATAGGTGAGGCACCCTATTGAGCCATGGGAGATGTTACAAACTTTGAACTTTTAAATAATAATAATAGCAAAAAAAATTAGTAATCAATTCTGCACAGTAAAGTGTCTGTCTATAATGATTAGTATCATATACTTTAAAATGCTAGAACAAATCGCTTGAATGTTTTCTCATAAAAGAAATGGCAAATCACTGGGTAGGCTTTACTGACTTAAACATTACAAAATGCACAGTGAAATATTACATATTTCATAAATATATAACTTTTACATTTTTATGTATCAGATTATTTTTAAAAGAACAGACAAGACAGCAACAGGCCATAACTTTGATAAAATGTGACAGACTGATGCCACTGTTCTTTACCACTGGATGGACCAGTGGCTTCCCCCTCAGCTTCACAGAAGTTGGTCATTCTGACACAGCACACCCCAGTGAGAATGGAACTACAGGTTTGAATTTGTGCAGGACACCTCACTGTAGTTGTTTGGAGAATTTTGGAGATAAATTCACTAAACACAAAGCAAACAGCAAATCCACCTGATGCTTTGCACTTGTTGGCATTCCCATAATGCCCAGTGATGTCCCTCGAGAGTTCTGATATAAGGGTAGGCCAGAGGCAAGAGGCCCATGGCTTTTCTCAGGACACAAACCAGAACACACAGCCTTACCTGACTGACCCTCTGCTATGGATGGCAGGGCATTTATCATTTGGTTAGTTGACAAAGGCAGATCTTTCCTTTATGGCAGTGGTTCTCAACCTTCCCAATGCTGTGACCCTTTAATACAGTTCCTCATGTTGACCATAAAATTACTTTTGTTGCCATTTTATAACTGTAATGTGGCTACTGTTACAAATCATAATATAAGTATGTTTTCTGATAGTCTCAGGTAACTCCTCTAAAAGGGTTGTCTGATTCCCAAAGGAGCCGAGACTCACAGGTTGAGAGATCCACTGCTTTACAGGATGCTACCACAAAGCCGTTGAGTTAGAGAGGGGAGTTATGGGAAAGTGTGTGGAAACTGATCAGAATCCTGAAGGGATAGACTCACTGACCACCAGACAAGATCGATGCTGTTTGGAACAGAAGAGTGTCCTGAGTGGGACATTGGGAGGGTAACCTGGGGCAGCACAGAAACAACCGACTGGCTTTGTTCCTGGAAAGTCCTTCAGGGAATGAGTGAAACAGCAAATAAGCAAGGGTCCCTGCCTGGCCCAACCTTGGGGGCTTCCCTGTTCCCCAGAGCTTTCTATTTCTCTTGAAGTGATGCAGACACAGCTTGTTTAAGGACCCAAGGACAGCTTGTTTCTGAGGACTTATTTATTTGAAAATAACCCTCACAACCATTCAATCCAGAACTTCATAATTAAGCACATCTTAAAATACACATTGAAGAGTCTGAGGAGTTTCTTGTGTATCTGTATATATGTTAGGTGCTGTTTTGAGTATATTCTGAGAAAAAAAAAAAGAGAAAGATAAAAATCTAGGCCTACTAGGGTAAATCAGAAAATATCTTCTTGCCAGGCAGGGTAGCACATGTCTGTAATCCCAGCAGCGGGGAGGTGGAGGCTGGAGTTCAAGGCCATTCTTGGCTATATAGATTCATGAAATCCCTTCTCATAGAAATAAAACAATTCACCTATGGAAAAGTGCTACCAGAATGAATATGTATAAACAATCACTCGGATAAAGCAGCTTCTGGAGATGAATCCAACAGCCATCTCAAAATGGCTTAGCTGCTTTTGAAAGTATTCAGTAGCTTGAAAAGACAATTGATCCCACGAAGATGATGGATGGAGAACTTTGTTTTGGCAGTGTGGCCACAGGTGATAGACAATTCCCTCAAAGAGAAAGGGTACTTGACAAAGCACGGAGCTCTACGTCATAGTCAAAACAAGGGAAACACACAAACTTCCCACTAATTAAGAAGGTATTTTCTGGCACAAAAGGGAAGTGCTGTATCTTTTTCCCTGACAGCAACTGTAGCAACTGTAGCCGATTGTAGAACTGACCAGGTTTACAAGATGGAAAAGCCCTTGAGGCCTTGTTAGTACAGGTATTTCAGAACCATCTGGGCCTGGTCTACAGTCACCTGGCTCAACAGTCTAGGACCCCAGCTTAACTTGGAGCCAGAATTCTGGTCCATAGTGCTGGGATCTAGCTCAGTGGTACAAAGTCTGTCTAATCTGCATGAGAGCCTGTGTTCTACCCCAGTGTCTTCCCCTGTCACCCCCCCCCCCAATCCTCCATTGTTTAAAAGGTTGCAACTCCTAAAAGATTTTATGTTTACAAAAATGTTTGCCACAAAATATTTTAGCATTGTTTTTCAGTTTCTCATTTTTTTTTCCCCTTTCAATACATGTGGGCTTCGATAAAGGTTCTGTATACAGCATTTTAATTTATACAGTCCACGTACTCCCTGAAAGTCAACTGAGGGCAGTATAAAAAATGGCTAAAGATTATCTATGTGTAGTTAAATAAAGCCTGAAGATCAGGAGACTGATGTTTAGGTAAAGTTTTCACCATTGCCATGGTCGGGGTGCCAGACGTCCAAGCTGAGCAGAGATGCCCTGTGGGGTAATAGCAGTAACCGCCTTGCCTGAGAACCAGAGGCTGGAGGAAGACCCAAAGCAGACCACTAGAATTCTGATTTATTGCATTCTGTATTACCATGGGCAGGGGAGCGGGCCTGAGAGCACGTTCTAAAGCTTTATTACCTGAGATTTGCATTCTGGACAGACAATCAGGATGGATGACTAACACGCACCTCACAAGATTTGGGTTTGGCTCTGGTGAAAGAACATGTACCGACCTGGAAAGGGGCTACAGGAGATTAGAGAGGATCAGCTAAGCACCGAGGCCCGGGTAGAGCTGTGGTAGACTGTCCCAGGGTTCAAGACACTGGGACAGCTCTTTCCCAGGCTGCTGCTGCATTTCAGCTTCTGAGCTGTGTGTGCGGCGAGCTGTGTGTGCGGCTCACTTCTCATCATCCCGGCCGTAGTTAATAGTTTGTAGGGCCTGAGCTATGAGCACTGCCATCTCTCTGGTGCCAGCAGCCACGACTCTGCATGACATGAGGTCAAGGGGTCCACCTGTGAACAGAGAGGGGGGCGGGCATCTGGGCTATGGGAGCCTGTACGTCGGTCTGTCAGTCTCGTACAGCATATGTTTCACATATGCGTGCAGAGGAAAAGAGCCCACAGGCCAAGGTGGAGTCCCTACAAGCAGCCAAGAAATGAAGCTGGCTGTGTGGGAGGTGTGGTAACTCTTGATACCTACCATGCCCTAGTGGGAACGTAGCCAGGGCTGCACAGCACTGAGCACCGGAGCTGCCCCATCTTAGAGTTACGATAGCTCTGTGAATGTAACACTGGGAGAGACTAGGATGGGAACGGAATATCCTGTATTTTGCCACACAGCAGGCTGCTGTGGCAGAGAGGGATGATGTACTTCCCTGACTCAGTCTGGGAGGGCCAAGCCTGCCTTCCCACATGTTCTATGGACCTTCCTGGGTGCATGATCAAAATGCAGATTCAGGCCTCAAGGTGCTTTTTAGTGTGAGACTGTCCTGTACAGCTCCCTGCCAAAGGGCCAGGACAACTTTACTTTTGTACATTGCTAGGAGATTCAAGTCTTGCAAAAGAGAAATAGGAGAGAAGTAGAAAAGCCAGACTACAGGAGATCCACTTCCTATACGCAATAGTTAAAAGTGGGACAGAATTTTCATGAGGGGGCTGGAGAGGTGGCTCAGGGGTTAAGAGCACTGCCTGCTTGCTCTTCCAGAGGTCCTGAGTTCAATTCCCAGCAACTATATGGTGGATCACAACCATCTGTAATGGAATCTGATGCCCTCTTCTGGTGTGTCTGAAGACAGCAACAATGTACTCATATACATTAAATAAATTTTAAAAAAGAAAGGAAAAATGAGTCTAACCATGTCTGTCAGAACTCAGGAGAGGGGTTTCGAGCACTAAGTGGATGAGCAGATGCAAGTAGGGCTCAGGTATGTCTATAAAGGAGGACCAGTGGCCAGGACTTGGAGGCGCAAAGGCAGAAGAACAGGGCAACTCCTGCTGGGTATTGGGCTGTCCCGGCTCTGGGCTGCGATGTTGGGGAAGTGTCTGCTCTGTCTAACTCATGGGACTGTTGCAGAAGCCACAGGAAGCTGTCAGTGGTGGTGAGTGTGGAATGTTGCTGCTTCTGTAATTAGCCGAGTGACCTTAACTTATGTGTGAGAAAGGGCAGGACCAAGGCCCACCATGGACAGCCACTGTTTGCCATGCACCCCAGTGTGGTCTCATCTGCAGAATCCAGAGGAAGTAGAGTAATCTAATGTGGCTCTGGCCTTGGGTACACTCTGTTCAGTGTCACCTGTTTTATTGTCTGCTGCTGGGTACAGCGAGGGGAGGGTGGCCAAAGGCCATAGAGCTTACCTGAGGTGTCAATCACAATGCCACCTGCTTCTCTGATGATGACTGTGGCAGCTGCCAGGTCCCAGCAGTGAAGGCCAAACTGGTAGTAGGCATCAGCAGCACCTGAGGCCAGGTAGCAGAGGGCCAGGGTAGAGCTGCCAATTACTCGGACCCTGGGGGGCGGGGGAGGAGGACAGATGTGGGTGAATGAGGGGACACCTGACATGGCATAACTGACCCTTACCCCTCACCCCTTGCTGGGCCCACTCAGCTCTCAGAAATGAAGTCACAGGATTCTACCAGCAGCTCAGGGTGCAGAGGACAGGCCTGGAGCGAGTGGCCCGAGCAGATGACTTTTCCATAATGATATTAGCATGCTGTACTAAGACGGGTCATGAGGGGCTCCTAAGTGAACTGTGCCCAGTGCAGCCAGAGGCCTGAAGTTGTTACTCTACTGAACACTAGAAGGTTACACGTAGAGCCTTCAAGTGGCTGGCGGTTACCACACAGATGAAGGGGAGGGAAGGGTGAAGTAATTTTGACTTAAGCACATAGAAGAAGTAATTAACCAACAGTTTATCTAACAGGCATGCTCAACCTGTGGCCAGCAGATCACATTTGTCCTAGGCTAGGTATGAATGTGACCCAACGTGTTTATAAATGAGGACACCTGGACGGAACATCAAATGGCTGGACATGACACTGATCTGAGTGAGTGAGGACAGCCCCTGTAGGTGCATCTATTTCTGTACGTGGTCCCCAGCTGGTGGGACTTTTGGAAAAGATCGGGAGGTGTGGCCTTGCTGGAGGGAATGTGTCATCAGGGGTGGGCTGTGAGGCTTCAAAAGCCCACCCCATTCTCAGTTCTCTCTCTCTTTGCCTGAGCTCTCAGCTGTTGCTCCAGCACCGTGCCTGCCTGCTGCCACGATTCCTTCCCATCATGAAAGTCGTGGACTCTAACCCTCTGAAACTGTAAGCTCCAAGTAAACTCTTTCTTCTGTAAGCTGCCTTGGTCACGGTTATCTGACCAGAGCAATAGAAAAGTAACTAAGACAGACACTCCTGGTCTAACGCGAGGCCACCGAGAAACTCTAAAGACCCATCAGGTTCACTGATGGAGGGAGCCACGCTTCGTTACTTGGCTTTCAAATATAGACTAGGACACGGGACCCATCCATTTCCTGACACCCGGCAGCCAGAGTGTTCCGTGGATGATGGCGCACGGTGTGCCTCAGCCTGGTGTCAGCAGCCTCCTGTCCTACCTCTCGGTGCCTCCTCTTCACATCCCTTGGGAGTGTTTAGCCAAGAGCACTTTTGGTTTTCAACCTACTGGCTACGGGACTGAGGACCTGTACCCGTGAGCCTTGGCGTGCAGCAGCCTCTCCATGTTGCTCAGGAATACTTTCAGAGTATCAGGGTCACGTTTGGGCCCGATTTCTGTCAGAACCAAGGCCTTTGCAAGATCTGCAAGAGAGAAGTTCCCATCAACCAACATGAAGACCGAGCCCTGGTTCTAATGGCATCATCTTGAGTTCCCTCAAGAGCGGCTGATTCTATGAGGTCTTTCTGCTGGGATAGGCCCTGGGGAGCTGATTTTGTTCGGGACTGCCTGCTGAAGAACCCTCTCCAGTCTCCTCTCAGAGACACTCCACATACATAGGAACACAAAGACCTCAGGAGAATCCAGTAGTCTATAAAAATAACTGTCAAACAATCCCATACTGGCAGTGTACCATGATTGAAGATGAGAAAACACCTTACCAGATATATCTTTCTATTAGGGTTTGAAAACTTGTCTGTCTGCACTGATCATGGGGATGGGATCTTCCCATGCAGAAGGTGAATGTGATCTGTTGTGATCTGGATGAAGAGGGGTTAAGACCTGGAAACTCATGGCTACCTTCACCAGGGGCCAATCATGCTCACACCAATGGCCCAGATATATGAGAGGTGACAACACCTGAGCTGGAAACCTGGCTTGTGGGTCAGGAACATGACTGAGGCTCACTGTGGCAGGGTCAGGAGCAGTTTGTCCTTCCTTTGCTACAGATGCGAAACTGGTCCTGCCTCAGCAGGTCACACCACGGGCAGGATGGAGCCACAGCTATCCAATGGTAGCTGGGGGGAACCAGCGCCTACTATGGTATTTTATCTGGCAGCCCTTATTCGGTGTAACACCTCCAAAAGAATCTTCCACATTCCAGATCCTCTTGCCTGCCCCTTTCTATACAAGCAAATACTTGTTTTATACTATAATGAATCATGGTGAAGTCTATACACAACGGTACAGGGGTAGACAAAACAGGCAGAATTACATCTCAACAGTCACTGGACACTTGAAGACCTGCCCATGAAACAGAAAGAGCATGAAAAACAGCAAAACTCAAACTAGAGGGCAAAAATCATAGGAAAAAAAATTGAAAATATTTCAGATATTAAATAAAAGGAACATAAACTAGGGGGTGGAGGGAAGGATGGCTCAGTGGTTACACATCTTGCTCTTCCAGGGCTACCGTTTGCTTCCTGGTACCCATGCTGGATGGCTCCTAATGCCGGACTCTGAGGGCATCTGCAGATAACAGATTTAAGTAGAACACCAATTTCCTATTATAGATGTCCCAAAAGACAGAGCACAAGCCAATGAGCTACGAAAAAAACCATACTATGGATTATAATTCAAAATTACTTTTTTGAAGTGAGAAAAGATAGGAAACAGTCAAAGAACTATGTCCCTAGGAGAACTGACTTGGCTGTGGAGTCTGGAGACAAAACAAACAAAAAACATCCCACAACAAAATCAAAAACAAAAACCCCTAAAACAAAACACCAAAAGGTCCATGTGCATCCAGGAAGAATAAGAAAGTCCCTTACATGTGGAAGAAAAACAAACTGTCTCAGGAACGGTTGCTCTTTTGTAATCCCAACTCTCAGAAGGTGAGGCAGGAAGACTGGGTTTAAGGCCAGAATGGGCTACACAGTGAGACCCTGTCTGAAAAAGAAAATCCGATTTAAACTGTTTACCAACTCTGCCAGCACACAACAGGGACATTTTAGAGATTCTACACAAGAAGAGGTGAGTCTTGGATTATTGCTAGAAAAACAAACTTACAAATAGCAAGGACAATGCTAAGCCGTAAAGAACACAGGAATCGGGGGCACCAATCCCACTAACCTGCCCTGAGATGTCAACTAGGACTCTACTCTCAAAGTGTGGTCCTCATCACTTCCCGTGGGCTGCTCCATTAGGAACACTTCCCAAATTAATCAAGATACTTATATCAGCCTTCACTATGCTGCCCTGTGTGCCCAGATGACAATAGCAACCACAGGAGGTGGGTGTCTCCAGCAAGGTAACCTGTGCCTCACTATCCCAGCTGGTGGTAGTAGGCATAACGTTCCTGTTCTAAATCACACACAGTAGGAACCAGCAGCTGTCCTTCACAACTATAAAGCTGTGAACATCAAATGCAATAAACCTTGAATGGTGAGTAGATCTTTCTTTGGAAATAACCTTTACAGTAAGGAAACAGGTAGCCAGAGGATTTTGATGAATTAAGGTTGTTAGGACTTGAGTATTTGGATGTGAGAAAGGAAAAGTGAGCCGACCACTTCCGTTACCAATGCCGCCAAAACTCAAGTGCAGCTTGGGACCTGGGAGAACTCGTGTCAGGGGAAGTAGTGCATGCCTGTGGTCCAACACGGAAAAGGCAGAGGGAGAAGATGCTGCCGCTCAAGGCAAGCCTGGTCTCCATCAGTGAGAATCCATTTCAAAAGTCAAAACAAAAGAGGAAAACTTTGGACAGCTTGTATGTTTTCCAACAGTTAAAGACTTGAGGTCTCCTGGTTCCGTCTCCCATGTGCTGGAATTATAGACATACACCATCACACCCCTGCTACCTACAGTCAGAACCCTGACCATCCTGGACTCACTTTGTAGACCAGGCTGACCTCAAATTCACAGAGCCACCTGCTTCTGCCTCCTGAGTGCTGGAATTAGAGGCATGCACCAACACTCCCAGCTAATGGTTTTTTGAGACATGGTCTCTCTAGTATATAGCTCTGGCAGTCCTGGTATTCACCATGCAGACTGGGATGGCCTTGAACTCACAGAGATTACCTACCTCTGCCTTCCAAGTATTGAATTACAGCCCTATAAGACCATGTCCAGCCTCTACAACTAACTCCGTCTTCCACCAGATTCTGCTTTTGAACATGTCAGCTTGAGTTCTGAGAGGTCAATCTAACTTGCACTAGGCACTGCCTCAGAAGTCAGAATAGGGACCTGAAGCCAGTCGGCACACGGCCTGAACCGCTCTGACGTCTGTGAGCAGAGGTTAAAACAGCTCACTGGACTCCAAGTCACGATCGTGCTTTGCTGAGGTGAGGACATATGTGGCAATGTGTAGAGGCAGAAGGGAGGCAGGTGACCAGCAGGGGCGGGAGCTTTAGAGACGGCAGCAGCTTCTTTCTACCCTGTTCCCTGGGTGCTTCCTGGGTCCCAGCAGAGTGGAAATCAGACTGAGTCCTGGGCCCAGAGCAAGGGTGGGTGGAGCTATCAGGGCGGGCAGTCACCACCTGACTGAACGGTGAAGGTGGCCAACCAGGAAGCGGGTGTGTGAATACTTTCTCGCAGTCATATCAAATGAAAACTGGAGCAAAGTTCACCCCAGCATGTTTAATGGCTGGCTTCCTCACACTGCCTTTCCCAGCTAGGTTTGGATGGATGCCTTTTGCCAGCATGGCTGGAATTAACATCACTCCACAGCCAAACTAAACACTCCAGCAGAAGGAGAAACGGGGCAAGGTGCTTTTCCTGGCCTGCTCCGGGTCCAAAGCACTGACTTGCCAATTGTCCTGTGGGGCTGTCTTACAGGGCTCTTGTGAGTTCCCTGATCTGGGCCCGTGCGGACTCTCACAAGCAACCTCTCTTCCCCAAAGGCCTATGAGAGCATCCACACAGTGCTTTCACACAGTAGGTCAGCTGCTCACAGGCTGGCTCAGCACACCAGCATTAACCAAGGAGGACTACACAGTGGGGAAATGAGAGGAAGGAACTGCAAAAAGATAAACCAACAACAGGCACAGGAGAGGCTGTTTGTTAAAGAAGGTAGACCGGCTAGGAGCCAAGCGCTGACATCTTGGGACTGCGGCCAGTGTCAGCAAACAGAAAGCAGGGACTGAGGCTGGGACACTTGATGATGTGCAGCTTCTGACACGTAAGAGCTGCGGTTGCCATCCCCGTCCTGCCCAGAGCTGCAGAAAGAACTAAGGCAGGCTCGGTGAGCACCCCACAACCAGCTCCATCCCCGGCCCTCACTGCCTTTCCAAACTCAATTATGCGGCCATCCAGGGCCTTTTAAAGTCTTCCTCTTCGACAGCTGCTGCTCTTCTAGGATCTCTTTCCTTCTCCTGACTGCACACTGCCATGTCTCCATCTTGCCAACATACACAAAAATCCTGGTGTTTCTCTGTTGCCTACCACACCTATCCTATACACAATAAAAACTACTAGTTTAACCACTGTAGGACAAAGGGCGGAGGAGAGAGAACACCCAGCCAGCACATCGTCAGTGGCGGGCAGTTCCATGGTTTACCCCCTGCAAGCAAACAATGAACAACCTCTACATTTAAGGCAAACAAAGGACAGTCATAATCCTGGTGGCAGGCCTGGGACACGTGCAAACTCTGCTTGTCTCCACCCTTGCAACATCCAGGTCAGAGGCCAGATTACATGGCTGTGGTCATGGGTACAACCAAGTTGTGCCTGGATGCTCTGCCAGCCCTTGTCTAAGCTGCTCTCTTAGTCCCAGCAGACTGAACTGCAACCAGTAACTGCCATTTTAAAGATGATAGATACATACAAGAGGATGTAATGATGCATTCAAACCTCCTGACCACACAGTGGTATTGCCACCTATACAGAATAAATGTTGTCCATTTCGACAAGGGACACTGCATCCCTAAAAAGAGCTAGAACTCCCTGAAGAAGATGACCACCACTATGTGTAATAGTCACCCTGGGCATCTATCTATGTCTAGCTGAAACAACCCAAGAAGAGCTGAATGAACCCCACCTGTCTCCCTGGAGACCTGGAGCCGCTGGCCATTGCAAAAGGCACCCTGGCCCCTCCTGCCGGTGTACAGCCGCTCCTCTGTGCAGTGGTGAATCACTCCGAATTCCAGCTAAGGGGGGCAGGAAGAAAGCAGACAACGTCATTCCTTGACACAGAAGCAACAGCGTTCTAAAGATGAACACTCCTCTTAGAGCCGGAACCAGAACCATGACAAAGGGACTGAACTGCCTTCCAAAGAGGAGTCAAGAAAAGCTGGCTTCAAACTACATGTGGACATGAATCTGGCAAGCCATTTCTTTTTTTTGTTTGTTTGTTTTTTTGTTGTTCAAGACAGGGTTTCTTTGTATAGCTCTAGCTGTCCTGGAACTCACTCTGTAGACCAGGCTGGCCTTGAACTCAGAAATCCTCCTGCCTTTGCTTCCCAAGTGCTGGGATTAAAGGTGTGTGCCACCACTGCCCGGCCTGGCAAGCTGTTTCTTAAATGACCGTATCAAAACTATATAAATAATAATAAAAATATTAAAATTATCATAACAAACTCTCTCCCCTCTCCACCTGTTCTCTGGTAAAAAAGTAATTATGACTGAAAAAAACAAAAAACAAAAAAACAAAAAAAACACCTAAAGGATCCTCCAGGTTACTGGTGTGTGAAGAGCTGGGTGCACATCCACAGAGCCAACAGACCAGGAACCCAGGGACATCCCCAGGAAGCATGACCACTACCCAGCAGGAGGAGGAAGAAGTCAACATGTCCAGCACATCCTGTCTCTTTCTGCCTGCTCACCTGGGGTTAATACGTGCCTGTGCCTGGTACCATATGCCCACCTTCAGGGTGGTCAGGTGCCTTAGCAGAGACTTAGGTAACCCTTATAAACGTAGACACTCAACCTATAGAACAGGTTTTATATCTGGAAGGACTTCCCAACAGTATGTGGCTCTCTAGCAATACTTACCTGCCCCACCCCCACCCTCGACCCTGGCCACAACATGATACCCAAATTTAGGCATCACTGAATTGTGTAGCCACCTGTGATGAGACCCCAAGATGAAGGGAAATGTCCTGTGGGCTGCAGGAAAGGGAGAGTTGCTTCCTAGATTGGGGGGAAACTGAAAGCAGTATTCCCATGCTCTGGAACTAGAAATACAGGACAGAATAGGATGGCCCAGTCTGGCCAAGGACCCGTCTGAGCTCTGTGGTCCCCAGTTTTCTTTCCTGGCAGCCCTGACTCTTGTTATGATAACCTGGTGGCTAGGAGAGAATTAATGCTCACTGGTCTCCATGACAACACTGAACAGAGAAACCAGTGGATCATCAATTCCTTACCCAACTGGCAAGATTGAAAAGTTTTACCAATATACACCAAAAGTGCTTTGAGATCTGTGCAAACTCTTGTTCCCATGAGGGGGATATTGACATTGCTATGCTGTTCTCAATGGGGGCAGTTGTAGAAGACATGGTACCCCAACTCTGCTCATGCTACAAGACATGAAGGCTCTTGTTGTCTTCCTGCATAAGGCTCCACCCTCTGCCTTTCCTTTAGGTCTCATGTGACGGCTTAGTTCAGAAGGTCCCTGGGAATCCTGATAGGGCCACATTCTCATACTAATAGCCAGGAGGAAAAGAAGAAGAATTAATAAAATATTGAGATGAAAAAGTCATCCAAAAATAGGAGTTCTTTTGTTTGTGACTAGGTCACACGCTCTAGGGGTCAGATGGAGACTCATTCGGACCATCTGCTCAGAACACTGCTGTCCACAGCAGCTGTGACTAGACCACAGCCAAAAAAGAGCCAGCCCACCCCAGGAGATATAAGCCCCAAACCCACACCTCTACAAAATTCCATCTGTGGTTCTTGACTTTCTTGGATTTGAAAAATACATACTTGGACATACTAGTCATGGTTATGGTACATGTCAAAGAGCAAACGCAGAGGCTGAATGAAACCGGGCAAGGAGGGCCGCATTACCTCCTGGTGAACAGCAAATCCGATGCTAACTGCCACAGTTGGGAATCTGTGAGGGAAGACAGGAAGGGTTACACTTAACACTGGCTCTCAAAAGCTTCCCTCCCCCACACCAGGACCTTTCTGCACTCTGGCTGGGCTTGATTCTCAAAATGACTTCCCAGTTTCACTCACTGCTTCCAATATAAACAGGCTCGGCTAGCCATACTGTTAAGTAGCTAACTTAAAGCAGCAACAGCACTCTGGAAGACTGGTGCTTACATGGTAAGACTGAGGCAATTTAACAGCGACCATATAAAAGTAATCAAGATGAATGTAATAACCACAATCTAAGCAGGTAGAGAATCCGCAAAAGGCCAACCTCAAATTCAGAATGTATGTGGAGGACCCAGCTGATGATGTCACAGCCCCGCCCCCGACTGTAGCCACACCCCTTTCAGCAATGCTAATATCCCCATCCTGTTTCCTGCTTGAGCTCTCAGCAGGCAACAGCAGGGTGAGCCAGTGGTAGAGGGATGGTTTTGATGCCACAGTCCGACCGTGGTTTTAATTTCGTCAGTTTGTTGCTGTGTTTCAAAATAGTCTCTCCTTTGTGAGAAGATCATAAGAGCTTAAAAAACAGGAAGGGACAAGGAAAGACCGAGTACTGTGAACTGGCCGGGGGAAAATACCAACCCAGACCACGAGCGGGCAGAGCCCTGCGCAGAAACCCTCAAAGGCAAGGTCAAGTCTCCCTGCTTCAGTCAGGCGCTTCACAGCCTTCCCTCAGACATGTTAGCTATGGCCCAGGACTGCAGGCTTTCTTATGGCTCAGGTCTCAGGCACAGCTGTAGCCTGGACACACTGGAACTGTCAGGTCAACATTAGAGCCTGTTTCTCAGAGGGCATTCTTTCCAGCCCGAGATTCCCCTGAGGGCTGCAGATCAGGAAGTACTGGCGATCGCAAGGACACCAGAGTCATAGGACAACTTAACATGAACATGTGGCCTCTGGCTGGAATGTGGTGTAGTCACTACGTCCCCTTTATGAATACCTTGGATGAGAAATGGCCCAGAAGTGAGAGGTGTCTCACTTAGCAAAGCATACCGAGACGAGTGGTTATACTTTAGTGAAGTGACAGCCTAGTGGCAGCAGATGGCACTACTCCACAGCATCAGAAGGGTCCCCTTGTTCACATATGACTGGATTCTCAAGGTAACAGTCACTACAGTGGTCATGCTTACTGTGTACCTCTTAGCATGTCAGCATAGCATGGAGACCAGAGAGCTAGGTCATACCTGGCTCTGCTCAGCATGGTGTATACGTAACCATAAGTCTGGGGCTGGGGGAGTACTTGCAGCATAGAAACATCTATAGGGAATGGCAAGTTAAAATATCTGCCCTCCAGGGAAGCCACGTGGCCTACTGTGCCTCTGGGTCTTTGGTTCCGTCTACATGGCTGTTGGCAAGTATACACAGCTCCCATACCTGTCCCTGTCAGGGACCACTAACCCTTCAGCTTCACTCCTCTAAGCCCTGGCTGCAGTCACAAGGTTGGCTTCTGAAGGAGTGACTCTCAAATCTCACTGGCACATCTTGTTTCTGTACCTCAGCCCCAGGCTTCCTGTCCAAATTCTACCTCTTTTCCAGGGGCAACTTCTTAAAGGAGCCGCAATTCAATTCAATTTAATTTAACTCAATTCAATGTCTTAGAGCTGTAAACAATCCCCTAAATTAGTTTCATCTATAGGCAATTATGTTTTTAATTTTTAAAGTACAGTAAAATATTTAAGTATAGGGAAAGCTGATCTCAAATTTGTGATCCTATCTTGGCTTTTGTGTTATAAGTCAGTAGTAACCAAAAACATACTTAGTCACCCCCCAAACACGCACGCACGCACGCACGCACACACACACAGGATCCTACTGTATGGACCTAGCTGACCTGGAACTCAGAGATCTACCTACCTCTGTCTCCTGAGTACTAAAATTAAAATTAAAAGCCATGTGCCAACACGTCTTGCCAAAAATATTTTCTTTACATATTCTTTAGAGTCATAAATGGAAAACCTTTTAAGAATGTCAAGATTTGATTTTCTCTTACAAGACTAGAAATCTACCATACATGTATGTTTACAATATTTAGGCTATTGAAAAGAAAACCTAGGGGCCACATGGAGCCCCATAACTACATGCTTCCAATTCCTGCTCACCTGTGCACGAAGTTGCAGGTGCCGTCGATGGGGTCGATGATCCAGGTCGGGCTGTGGGTGAGCACACACTTGGCCCCGGAGGCTGTGGCCTCTTCTGCAATGAACCTGCTGGGGCAGGGGGCTCAGCCTGAGTCAAGTCCAACACTCAGCAGACGAGTGTATGTAGCAGGCACAAGGGTCTGGGTTTCAGTCCCAGTACCAAAACACCCCCCAAACCAGACTGACTGCTGCAGTTTTGGAGGCACACAAGGGAAATGGAGCAGGCCAGGCAGAGATGCAGGAGTGCAGAGCACCTGAAAGAGCACAGAGGCAAGCAAAACTTGGTTCCCAATTCCGCATGGAGCTACAGATGGATGAGAGGCAGCAGAGGCCCAAGAGGTCTTGCTAGCATGCAGATCAGAACCTGGGCTATAGAAGGGAAACTGCCATCTACAGCTCCCTTCTCCACCTGGACCCTGGACCCTTCCCTCCCTGGTTTCTGCTTCACTTTGGGAGAAAAGAAGGGCTGGACCAGGAAGCAGTGCAGTTAGCAGGATGCTTCATCTCCCCCTGTCCTGGGTGTCAAAGCAGACTCCTGTTCTCATAGTCTCTCCTTGACTTCAGGGCCACACTGGCTGTCTCCAGATTAGAGATTTTTGGTAGGAGGCTCTGGGTCTGCCCCTCCCTTGTAACAAGGCTCTGTGTAAAAAAGGCTCCTTAACTCTCCTCAAGAGTGTGTTCTCTGGCCGACTAGGAGCCAAAGCCGAAAGCTGAACATGTACAGGTGTCTTAGTTAGGGTTTTCGTTGCTGAAGACACCATGACCAAGGCAACTCTTGTAAAGAACACCGTTTAATTGGAGCTGGCTTATAGTTTCAGAAGTTCAGTCCATAGTCATCATGGCCGGAACCAGGCAGATAAGGTACTGGAGAAGGAGCTGAGAGTTCTACATCTTGAATCGAACGCAGCCAGGAGAAGGCTCTCTTGTCAGTACTGGGTGGAGCTTGAGCACTAGAAGCCCTCGAAAACCTGCCTACACAGTGACACACTTCCTCCAACAAGGCCACACCTCCTAATAGTGCCACTTCCCACAGGCCAAGCATATTCAAACCACCACAGAAGGGAATGCCATTTGTAAAAATGGGGCCAACAAGCACCAGCTGCCCAGGCCAAAGGCAGGGAAACTCCTTCCATTTCTTTCCACTTACATCTGGGCTCAGAGAGAACTGGCCCTCTCAGGTAACACTAAATATGCAAATGCCCAGCCAGTTTTCTAGGATAAAGACTTAAGAGTCATACCATTTCCAGAACTGTTTTCTGAAGTTACTTGATACTCCTAAAACACACCATACTTTTACTTTTTAAAGATTTATTTATTTTATATGCATTGGTGTTTTGCCTACATGTATATCTACGTAAGGGTGTTGGGTCCCCTGGAGCTAGAGTTACAGACAGTTGTGAGCTGCCATGTGGGTTCTGAGAATTGAACCCAGGTCTTCTGGAAGTGGAGCCAGTGTTGTTCTTAACCAATGAACCATCTCTCCAGCCCCCAGAAAACACACTGTACTCTTGAAAACACAAGGAATGGGTGCCAAAACTTGAATGTAGGACCAAGCAGATAAAAATGGTGAAAAGATACACCTTAAGTCAAGAGGTAACAAGCTCTCCATGTGATTTTGACTGTCAGCTGTTTCTGAGACTTTCTTCTCTTCTAGCTATTGAGTGTGATGTTAAGTCAGTCATAATTGTCTCTCCAGACCATGAAGGAGCTGACTAAAGCCATCAAGTCTTTTCTTCCAAAGCTCTGTGTCCACTAGCTGGCCCATAGGGGCATCCAGGGTAAAGCATAGTGGGAAGAGACTAGACACAAATTGTAGGAGGAGCTAAGGTGGGAGGAGTTAGGAGAGGAAGAGGAAAAGGAAGAGGAGGAGCTAGAGAGAGCAGAGATGTAGGAGGATGGAGAACCACACAGGTATGGAGAGCACTCGTGGGGCACAACTTATAATTAGGTTAGCTAATTGGGATACAACTCTCTTTGTATGGGCATCTTGCTATTAATCATTACCAAACATATAAAGCCTTTGATTAATCTATAAGAATTAGAGTCTCATTCTCTTACTGGGCCCGCGTGGATGGCGGAATGGTCTGGGCAATGCCCTGCCTTTCGGAGACAGAGTGGAAGATTGGCAGAGCCATCTCCTACGCTGGTGTCTCGTGGGTGGCAGGGCTGGTGTTTCTGGCGGGCTGGTTCTAGCTGCTGCACGCACGTGGCCTCTGGCCACAGAACATGGCGGCTGAGCTAGACAGAGCTGCCACAGCTTAGATAGTCGGCTTGAGCCAGAGGCCGATTTTAAATAATTACAACAACAACAAATGCCCAGCTTTGGTGGCAGGAAAGGGCTTTCCTATGTCAAGGATGCTGCTTTGTGTTCTGATTGACTTAAGCATCCAACAGACATTGCTCTGTACTGAGCACACTACAAGACACAGGTTACAATGACCTCAAAAGGGCAGAAGGCAGCAGGGCACACTGAGTGACTTTTCCCCAGCTTGAGACAATCTCACAGTCTTGGATGCATTACTCAGGAGGACATATATGACTACAAGTCACCAGAGTGAATAAAAGAGATGAAGAGAACAGAATCAAACAAATAGCTAGTTCTTTAAAACGATTAACAAAACTGACAAGCACCTATCCAAGCATAAAGAAGAAATGGAAATTATTATGATTAGAGATGAAAAAGAAGTTATTAGAATAGACTCCAGTAAAATCCAGGAGATCACAGACTATTTCAGATTTAGATCTAAAAGAAATGCACATATTTTCTAATTATATACTTGCCCAAACTAAACCCAGAAGATATAGACAGGCAGGCAATGAGATCGAAGCAGTAATATAGTCTTTCCACAAATCTGGGATTGGCCGGATCCACTACTGAATCCCACTAAACCTTTAAGGAAGACCTAAGGACAACACTTTTCAACTGTTCTACAGAGCAGAGAAAGACTACCACCAAATCCATTCTACCAAGTCAGTATTATCTAAATACAGTAGTATCTAAAAACTGAAACTGGATAAAGGCTTAAAAAACAAACAAACACTACAAGATGCAAAAATTCACAGCAAAGTATTGGGAGATAGTTCAAGAACACATTAGGAAGATCTACCCCACCACCATGTTGGTTTCATCCTAAGGATGTAAAATTGGACCAATACTGCAAGTCATGTACTACTCCATATAACTAGTTCTTAGGACACAAGCGTTACACATTATAGAGACAGACTTAAGGATGGAAACCATCTTGATAGGTGAAAAAGAGGCATCTGACAAAGTTCAGCATAACTTCATGATAAAAGTCCCGAAGAAACTAGGAATAGATGATATACATGATAAACCTATAGGCAGAGTTACATGCAGTACTGAAAACTGAGCTTTTCCCTCTAAAACCTCGAACAAGACAAGCACAGTGCCAACACTTTCCATTCTTACTCAATGAAGTGTTCAGAGTCACACATATAGGATGAGAGCAGGATATAAAGGTTGAAAACAGGAGAGAAGAAATAAAAGTCTGATTTGCATGAGAATAGTCCCTATAGGCTCATATATTTGAATGCTGAGTCATCAGAGAGCAGCACTTCTTTGAAGGATTGGGAGGTGCAGCCTTGTTGGAGGAAGTATGTCACTGGGGTGGGGTGGGCTTTGAGGTTTCCAAAGCTCAAGCCCAGTATCTCTCTTCCTGTTGTCTATGGATCCCTAGGTAGATCTCTCAGCTCTGTCCAGCACCATGTCCGCCATGTTCCCACTATGATAACGGACTATGCTTCTGAAACTGTAAGCCAGTCTTAACTAAATGCTTTCTTTTAAGAATGGCCATGGTCTTGGTGTCTCTTCATGGTTGGCTGTTTGCTGTATCTTTTTTCTTTTTTTCTTTTTTTCTTTTTTTTTTTTTGCTGGGGATTTAGCTCGGTGGTTGAAAACTTTCTTAGGCCATGGGTTCAACTGATTCCCTCCACCCCCACCAGAAAGCATTAAAAAGCAATAGGAAATGTATATATTTTAACTAAAACTTGTTCTTTAATTCATGTATTTATCCACAGGGGGGAAAATGGATGACACCTCTCATGTTCCGAATAGACTCTGAGGAGACTACCATGTGACACTCATGGCCACACAGATACACATCCAGACTAGAATAACCAATACCCAGAATTCCCAGGAACTGCCCTCCCAGTTTTAGAAGTTTAGCATCTTTATGAGACATTACACGAGGAACAAAAGGGAGGCTCTGAATCCAAAGCCCGGATCTCCAAGATCTGTCATATAGAAACCAGGGTCTAGGGAGCAGCTGCTCTATGGTCCTACTCTAGTGCCTAGGGAACTTCTAGAGTTATGTGCAAAATGCTGAGCAAATATTTTAATTTTTCTAGGGAAAAGATGAATGTCTTATAGTCAGTCTTGCACAAGATGGCCCAAGAAGACAAAAGAACTCTGGCCTTTGGTGAAAAGGGACACCCTTGTGAAGGCCTGTGTCTCACCATCTACTCTGTCCCCAGTAAGAGGTGTCTGTGTTACTGGACACTGGCAGTGAACAGTCTGACAGCTCACATTTTAACCCTTGCTCTTAACATATGACCCTGGGTGGCAAGGGAGGCACCACTAAGTTTTAGAAGTAGGACAAACTTTTACAGATCCCTCTGGAGTCAGAGGCAGGGAGTGTTTCTGAGCATATGCTATTGAGAGTAGAACCTTGGACATACATAAACAATGTGGTGGTTTGAATATGATTGGTCCACAGGAAGTGGCACTATTAGGAGGTGTGGCCTTGTTGGAGAAAGTGTATCACTGTATAGGCAGGCTTTTGAGGGCTCCTAGTGCTCAAGCTCCACCCAGTGCGAAGAGTCTCCTCCTGGCTGCCTTCAGATCAAGTTGTAGACAACTTGGCTCCTCTTGCACCATGTCTGCTGCATGCTGCCATGCTTCCCACCATGATGACAATGGACTGAACCTCTGAAACTGTAAGCCAGCCCCAATTAAATGTTGTCCTTTATAAGAGTTGCCTTGGATGCTGGGCAGTGGTGGGGCATGCCTTTAGTCCCAGCACTTGGGAGGCAGAGGCAGGCGGATTTCTGAGTTCGAGGCCAGCCTGGTCTACAGAGTGAGTTCCAGGATAGCCAGGGCTATACAAAGAAACCCTGTCTCAAAAAACAAAACAAAACAAAACAAAACAAAACAAAACAAAACAAAAAGTTGCCTTGGTCATGGTGTCTGTTCATAGCAATAAAACCCTAACCAAGAGACACACATACAAATACACACATTTTAAAAAACTAAGTAAGATTATTAAATAAAAAACCCAGTGCTGGGATGGGTTACCTCCTTACAAGGTGTGGACAAGGAGGTCTCTGATGCCTCCAAAACAATCCAGGCTATTGCCACTGTTGCTGGTTGCCCACCAGATCTAGATGGCAAACCCCTAAGGCTGGAGATACCACATGATTTGGTTGAAGGACTTAAGAGAAGCCAAGTTGAAACTGAGCTGGAAGCTGCCCCGCTGCTACTAGCTTTCATAGTGCTGGAATGTGCAATGGAGGCTTCTGATGGGAGAAATGATGTCAGTGATCTAATTTGGCTGTAGCACTATAAGCGTATTACCAATCTAGCAGGCAAGATGTGTACACTTTCTGATTGAACTTAAGGCCCATTTAATAGGAGGGAAGTCACGTATGGTATTTAAAGTTTATGGCTTGGTGACATTGCAAATCCCAGTAGATAAGTTACTATTGTTTTGGTAAATGGACATGATGTAGCCTTTCAAATGTTTACATTTAAGTCCATAGAACTTTGAGGAGAGTAACTTCTTGTTGTAGTGGATGATAGTTACTGAGTGTCTTATAACAAGTCTAAACGCTATTCTAAGTAAGAATAAGTGACCATTGAACGTTTAGCCCTAATGAGGTTTATCATCCCCTCTAAGGCTCAGGAACAGAGGAAGAGGGAGCAGAATGAATTTCAAGGTCAGAGGAAAGTAAAATGTCATCTTCTAGGTATGACCTGGCTGTTACACTCCTGAACTCTTAGCAGCTATAATTACCTGCACAAGATATATATATGTATATAATATATATAATATATATATATGTATATATATATATATATATAAATTATATATATTATATATTATATATACACATATATATATTCTCTCTCTATATATTCTATATATATATCTTTGTTACATACTATTGTATATAATAAAAATCTCATATTTACCGACTGTTCATAAAAAGTATTCCTAGAAAAGAAGGCCACAGAACAGTCTAATAAAATGATTGTTATATACATTTTAAAAAGGTAGAGGTTCTTCCTAAGGAGACACAAGGGCTGAACGGTTGTTACATCACAGTAAAAGAATCGAAGTGATCAATTATCTTCCCTAAAAATGGAAGGCTCTGGGGCTTGGCAGCTTGGGGTTTCCCATGTACCCTTGGTGACAGATACCAGTGCCTCCCAGCAGGTCTGTGACCTCCTTCCTGGCCTCCTCCTGGTGAGTTACTGGGGTGTCTTCCTGAAGAGAGTGCTCACCTGTGTGAAGGAAACCGCTTTCGTAGCTCAGAAACAATTAAATCTTCTACTCGGTGATCTGTTTCTGTCACAAGATCTGCGGCTGATGTTTTTGTCGAGACGCGTTTTTCCTCAGTTAGGGCCTTTCTGATGATCTGAAATAAACCATGGGAGGCAGTGAGGTCTGCGGGCCCCCTCACTGATCCCAGCCTTCTTTGGGGACTGGCTGGCCTTGACCAGGGCCTGGGGTTTCCTCACTTCCTTCTTCACTGACTCATGACATCTCACCCGCTTCCCAGGGTTCTTCTAGGAACCTTAACCACCAGACCTTACTCTGACTCTCCCCGCTCCTGAAACTTTACATTCAAATTCCACTCAAAGCTCTACCTTTGAAGCAAGTTTTCTATGGAAGACAAAAAGATTTGAAAAAGACTAGGGTACCATCAACAGGAGCTCCCCAAAATAAGACGATAGAACACAGGTTTGCCCCCAAGAATACCGCAATTTCAAATTTTTGAGATCTGTACGTAAGAGCTTTATGAATTGCGCACACATGTGACCTATCTGTGAATACAGGCTACAAACATCCCCATGAGAGCTGAGCCATCCCATAGGAACCCAGGCTGACACTTGCTGCTGTATGCAGAAGAGCACCAGCCTCCTACAGGGACACAGCAAAGGTACTAGAGGAGTCTCAGGAACCACAAGCGTAGTCTTTATAGCTGGGCAAGCTGCCAGAACATCTGGATTGAACCCACTATGACTAAACAAAAGGGTAAGGCCTAGGTTGGCACTATTTTTTGCTGTTCTGGTGTTGTTCCAGGAACCCCTAGAGACCCAAACAGGAAACCAGAACATAGTTAGGCCCCCACTGAATGCTGCAGGAGGATCAATGACAGCTTGTGGAAGAAAATGACATCTCCAGTTCTATCTGGGGATGTTTTCTTCATGTCTGTCTGTCGTCTGTCTGTCCATCTGTCCAAACCCGGATAAAAGTGGTGAAGTCAGGATACCTAAATAGACTTGATATATTCTCTCTAGAACCAGCTATCTCCCCAAATCATGTATTTCTCTTTAAAGCACCATCTGTGGCTGGCAAGTTGGCTCAGGGGATAAAGTGCTCGCCATGCCGGCTTGATGACTTGAGTCCAGTCTCCAGAATCTTCGTAAAAGTGGAAGGAGAAAAAGTGACACACGAAGTTGTTCTCTGTCTCTACATGTGCATCATGGGACATATGTCTGCCCCCACCAAAACACACATACATACTAAATTCATAAAAAAGTACCACCCAAACTGGCTACTCAGATGTGACACCCTTTGCCCATTGTGACATTTGGCTGTCATCAGACCAGCACTACTTGGCCCATGCTATGTACTAAGGATGCCAAGGTGAAGAGGTCTTCAGTGGGAATGAGAGTTGTAAATAGAATCCTCTAAGTTACATTTTACTTCCATGTTCTGTGTTTGTCTGTCTGTCTGTGTGGGCACACATGAGCCCCAAAGTATGTAGGAAAGTCAGAGGACAATCTTGCAGGCGTTAGTGTGTCCCAGATATAAACGAACCCAGGTCCTCAGGCTCGGTGGCAGGTATCTTTACCTGCTGACCCATCTATATGATCTACAAATGGAATCTTAAAAAACAAACAGAAACAAGACATCCAGTGGTCCTACACTCAGCATTCCCTGCAACAGCTCCCTCCTGCTCTGCCTCAATGCCCTTCTCAGATGAGCCTACCTACGAGGTGCTGTTTTAATCTGGGCTGCAAAAATAACAGATAAGCATGACAGAAGATTTGGAAATGACAGGCCGGGAGAGATCACCCACAGGGAGAGGTCACCTACAGCTCGCCACTACCGTTCACATCCTGCCTGCCTCAGTCCTGCACTGCAGAGTTTCCTGTCTTGAACATGCAATATCCTGCCCATTATCACCACACTAATTCTCTTACAACACCGATTTACACACAGCATCGCTTGCCAAAGCCATCTCCACAGGTGCTCATAAATTCAACACTCTTCAATGCTCCCACGAAGCCTGACATCCTCCAGGAATTTCAAACTCTGGGCCAGTCCAGGCAGGCTACTTGGCACTGTGTATATATCTTATACAGGGAGGGAGGTTCAGTTCGTGAGTGCAGCAAATGTAGCTGGGTAAGGTGCATGTTGTGGTGGGGGAGGCAGGGGAGAGTAAGAGGAGGCAGGGGAGAGTATCGATCCATCAAGAGTCTAACAGGATGACACAGCTGCAGAGCCTTTGGAATCCAGTTGAAAGAAGACTGGCCTCTAGGTTGGGGTTGGGGTCTGAGATCAACATTTCTGGCAAACTCCATTGTGGTAAAGAAGCCAGGGCAGTCTTCATACCTTGGAGCAAGGAGGAGCACCAGGAGGCTGGGACAGTCTTCCTTGACAGGTTGTGTGTGTGTGTGTGTGTGTGTGTGTGTGTGTGTGCAAGCGTGTGTGCACATAAAGAAATCTCCATTTTGTACCAGTGCCTTCCTGGGACCTGCTTAAGAGGAAGCAGACCTGAAACCAGTTGATTATCCCAGTTACACACCCATGTGGCCTCCACATAGAACCTGGACTGAGGACTTAAGATAAAGATTAGAAAACTTCTGAAAACTCCCCAATGGCTTCCTACTGCTGCCTAAACCTCCAAATGCTGTACGGCTCACCCTCCACAGTCCAACATATCAAATTGCTCTCCTTCATCTGTTTCAGACTTCCCTGATGATCATAGCAGGATCTGTTTCTATCCAGGGCCTTTATATAGCCCAGCCCTCCATCCATCCCTCCTTCCCACCTGTTGCTGTCTTACACGGTTAGTACTTGGCTGTGTCGCTCATTCCATTGCAGTATGAGCTCTATGACAGCAGATGTTCCCTGACCCTTTGTCCAGCTGCCTGTGTGGAGCTGAGCCTGGAGTACAGTGACTGCTAGGGAATGTAAGGACATGGACTGCCGGAGTGGTTCCTGGGAGATTTCTTCCAACAGGACCACCGATGTCTGTGTGAACACTAGCTACCCTATGTCTGTTCTCTTAGCTCTTCCTCTGGTTGTGCTAGCAAAGGTACCAATGTACCCAGAACCTACCTTTCCTCTGGACTTTCCTAGAACATGGCCTCATCTACTATTCTGCTTTCAAAGCCAAGCTCAGTCTGCCTTAGGTACTCACCCCACTGTAACTGGCCAGCTATACCTCCATAACCACACACTTCTCCAGCATGAAGCACAGATGCCCTCTCTACCTTGGGTGGTCAAGGTTCCGAGGGAGGCGTGTGGCATCTTTCTGGACTTGGCCTTAGCATCTATCTCCCCTTCTTCCTTTTAGGAACAAAGCTCTCATGTTTCAGGAAGGTCCAGAGCTGCCTCCAGAGATTTCCCCTGATTTCCCCCTTACTCCTGGGCTTGGCAACCTTTGTTTTCACAGTGTGGATGGAGACCTCTGCAGCTTCAGAGCCATGTCCTCAAAGACACTGAACTCTCACCTCAGTGGGTTTCTTCCTTTCCAGGGCTCGTGATCCTTGCTAATGACAGCCAGGGTGGTCCCAGGAAGAGGGCCTTGGCATAGGACAGAGAACCTTAGCTCCTGGGGGTGGGTAGGTGCCACAAGCAGAGCCCCTCTCTGGGCCATGTACTAACCGCACATCACCCTGTTCTTGCTGTGGGGGTCTGAAGAGCTTCAAGACCAGCAAGAGCCTCGTCTCTCATGTGCATCCTCAATCCCATGATGCCACTCTAACGGTGGTATCCTTCAAGGAGGCTTCTGTTGCCAGATATTCCCGTTTGTGGTGGTTTGAATGAGAATGGCCACAATAGGCTCATATATTTGAATGCTTGGTTGCCAAGGAGTGGAACTGTTTGAGAGGATTAAGAAACAGTAGGTGTGACCTTTTGGGAGTAGGCGGGTTTCAAAAGTCCAACAGTCCCAGTGTTTCTCTCTGTGGATCAGGCTGTAGCTATTGGCTACTGCTCCAGTGTTACCGGTGCTGCCTATGCCTCTGATACTGTATGCAAGCCCCCAGTTAAATGCTTTCTTTCCTAAGAGTTGCCTTGGTCAAGACGTCTCTTCACAGCCATAGGACAGTGACTAAGACATCATTCTTCGCTCTGACTCAGCCAGAGAAGCACCTCCTCCACAAGGGGCCTCACAGAGACCAGCACTTGTTCTCCAGCACCTGGTGACTGGTGAGGACCCCTTCATTCTATGTCCACCTCCTACAAGCAGGTGTGAGCCTCTGCAGGGGCTGCCACACCCGAAGGTCCCCAAGAACACTGACCGATGGAACGGATAAAGATGTCTCGCTGTTGTACACTGAGCTGCCTACTAACCACACTGGAAGGCTTTAGTAAGCATGCTTGTGATGCCATGTCCGACCTCGGGGATAGTTTACAAGCTTGGGTTTTCAATTTAAAAGTCCTACCGCTGAGTGAAGCTGGGGGGGGGGGGGGATTTGGGGTTGGTCACTATGACTCCAAAGCCTCTGTCCACACCAGGCCTCACCTCACCACAGGTTCTATAAGAGGGGTAGAGGGGTATAATTTGGTTTGGGGGTGACGTGTTACACTGTGCTCTTTTTAAAAAATGACTGTTCGGGGATGGAGAGATGGCTCAGCAGTTAAGAGCAGTGGCTGCTCTTCCAGGTCATGAGTTCAATTCCCAGCAACCACATGGTGGCTCACAACCATCTACAGGGGGATATGATCCCCTCTTCAGGCAGGCGGATGTACATGCAGCAGAGCACTCATACATTAAATAAAAAATAAAGTTTTTTTTTCTTTTTAAAAAAAGACTGACCACTTGTAGCCCTTGTTGTGTTATTGTGGCTTGCATAGTGAACAGAATGTGCCTGTGCCCTCCAATAGTGGGACAGGTACGTCCCCTTACCTAGTACACAACCCCTCTTCCATCAGGTCCTGGCCTCATACTAAGCTTTGTATATGATTTCTCCCCGCCCGCCCTTGTTTTTGGAGACAGGGTCTTACTGTGCAGGCCGGACTAGCACTGAACCATGGTCCTTCTGCCTCAACGTCTGGAGTATGGGGATCAAACAAATTCAGTGAGGTAACTAGCCTGTTGTTTCCTGTGTGGCAGGCCCTTCATATCCAGCCTGAACTACATTAGGCCATGAGGCCACTCCGGGGCCATCCCATCTC